GTCCCAAGGGTTTTTTTGCTCGTGGTGTCTTCAGTGCTGTGAATTGGGACCAAGTTGCTCGACTTCAACAGGTCTGTGCCTATGAGTCTGCACGTGCCAGTTTCGGCCGTTTGGCTGATCACAATACCAGCAAGGGAAAGCCTAGAATCATATCTCGTGGCTTTCCCATGTATTTGTCGCGTTCCTTCAATGCCCAGTACGGCAAGTGTATGCAAGCCGTAGCCTCGAGGATGGTGCCATTTCTGCATTTCCAGGGACAGTTGTTGTATTATGTGCAGGCGGTGGATTTGATTCATCAACGTGAGTTTGGGAATGATGCCAGCATTCTTCGTGACATTTTAAATGTGACCAACATGGCCAGTAAGACGGGCAACCTGATTTCCTTTTTGCCTCTGCATGTGGGTCTTAAAGTTAAAATTACCAAAAAATTGTTACCGCCTGAGATCGTGCAAGAGTGCCCGTGCGAAGTGATTGGCATTCAGATGCATCCCAATGAACGCTTTGGCAGTCCTGGTCATGCTCCTGGACAGCAAGTCCCCGATCCTGGACATTCTTGCTGGACAACTGGATATGTCCGTCTGGACTATTTGCCCGCGGCAATTGCCGTCCGAGTGGAGGCGGGTCGTGTGGCATTAATAGTATCGGTATAATTGTTCTGCAGAGTTAGATAAGTTCAAGATAGCATGTAGAAGGAGTCAAGAACGTCATGCATGCTTTCATCTTTGTGTTTGCAGAGCTTGTGGAATCAAATGGTGCTGTGTAGAGTGTAAAGTAAATGGCAACTTTTCATTTCATGGCAGTCAGGTGGTGATGTCCTTGACGTGTGAGATTGTGGTAGTTTTTGGGGGGTGGAGTGTGGAGTGCATAGTGTTGATTGTGTTGTGCACACATGAGCACGTTGACTGGACAGGATCGCTGTGACGATTACACCGGACGAGCACTACCGGGCGTGTACTTGTTGGAACCGTCAGAAGACAACTTTAGCATCAGTCTTCGACGGCGTGGCGAGCTGCAGCTGGATGTAACGCGGATCCAATTCCCGTTAGCTCCATCTGCAGCCGGCACTTTCAACAATAGTCAAGGCAAGACGGTCCGAGGACAAGGACATACCATCGATTGCACTCGGCCATCGTATTTCGGCCGCGATGTGTACATCCAACATCTCTACATGATTCTTGGGCACGCTCAATCGCTGCAGTATTCGCTTTTCCGGAACTTCCCGACATTGGAAAACGGCGATGTGGACTGGTCTTTCTTCGAAAATGGACCGCCACAATACATCGCCGATTTTCTGGATCGTCTCGAGGCGGGGAAATCCATGAAAATGCTCCCCAGGTGGCGTTGCCCCCGATGGAGGTCAGGTGGCGCTGGCCCCGGCCGATCTGAAAGTGTCCGACTTGCTGATTTTGATTCTAGTCTTCGATGTTGTGGTCATCTGCGAACTGTCTGTTTTTTGATTCATGACTCATATCCAGGATGTCGTTCTGATGTATTTGAAATGATATATGTGTGAGATTGTGCGATTCTGATGATTGCGGTTGTGATGGTGTTAAAATGGGGATAATTGTTGTTTTCATGTGACACTTGCATCTTGTGACCCTGAACCAGGAAGTGGCAGCGGCGTCGACGGAAACGATCGAAAGTGCACGCAGATCGCTTTCGACGTTTCCAATGGCGACTTCTTTGCCTCGACCGGATGCGAAAAATGCAGCTGGTATGTTTGTGTATGCCACTGGTGCTTGGGAGTCGGCTGTGCAGCTGTCGGCCAGCAGTGCAGGCCATTGCGGCAAGAAGCGTAAATTTCAACCCATGCAATGGAAAGAGCTGCGGCGGGATTTTTGTCTTGGTCTTGGATGTGAGCAAGTGCCGGAAGTGGCCGATCCGACCAAATTGTTCTTCTGGAACCGCTGCCACTTGCGTGCTTTTGCTGCAGATGCGGGCGGTGGTGGTGATTGCTTCTTCCTGTCCGTTGCTGCCATTTTGATTTTCGCTCGCGACTCAATGCCCGCTGTGGTGGATTCACTTGGACTTTCTCCTCGTCTTGCTGCCAAAGATCGAAAAGCAGTCGCACAAGCTCTGCGTGGAGTTGTTGGTCGACATTTCCGCAAGTTGTCTGGAAAGGCTTTTGTTGATTTTGTTGCCGGGTGTGTAGCTCGAGAAAAAGCTGGCGCGTGGATGGACCAATGGTCTATGCTTGCATTACTTCGAAAGTCCCCTTTCGAGTTTTTGGCCACTGTCAATGTTGTCGTGGATGTCCAGGTCCTCGACGATGCTTTGCAAGTTCGCTTTCAGGAAGGAGATAGTCTTGTCACCCGCAGCAAACGCATCCGTGGAGGTGTCGCTGCATTGGCAAAGTTGCAGCATGAAGTTGCTTTGCAGCTGGAAACATGTGGCAATCGACATTGGGCGACAGATGTGGATATCGCGGCTTTATCAGATGAGTTGAATGTGTCTTTCATCATAGCTGGGAATACGTGGACAAACACGCAAGTGGCAACTGAAAACATCGCTGCGGGTAAGGTACTGCATGCTTATTGTTGGAGTGAAGGAAACGCCTTGTCTGTGGTTGTGCTTATATTACATCGACGAAATGCATTTCCAGGTGCTGCTGTTTGAAAAAGACGGCGAGTGTCATTGCTACTTCCCACCGGACGCCTTGCCGCCGACTCTTTTGGAAGCAGTGGCAGCATGCAGATAAACGTGACGCTGCTGTAAGCTGGCAGGTGGCGATGTCCCCGCGTGAGAAAGTTCGGTTCCATGGCAAATCAAATGCACGTTGCTTTGGTGCATGGTGCAACGAAACTGGAATGGTTATACCAAGCTCGAAAGGACTTACAAAGTCGCTGGCACATTGGAGGTATAAAGCTTTGACAAACTGGCTGTGCCAAAGGTCTGGATGGGTCCAAACTCCTCCGAGTCCTGTTTTTCCTGCTCTTCATCTGCATTCTCTTGCCGTGCGTCTTCCTTGGATTGTCTGGAGTGTGGATTTGGGACCGGTGTGTTCCCGGTCAAGATGCCAGAGTGTTTCTTCTCCGCAAAGAGCTCATGCAATACGGCTCGGCGCACCCGACGGGATTTGTGTACAAATTATGAATTTTGGTAACATCTGTTGCACTCCGCATTCATTTATGTGCAGCCGAGCGCAAGCCATTCAATTGCATCCGATCCCAAAGCATCTGAGCAGCAAAGCTCTGTGCAACCGCCCGATATGATTTTGCCTGTGAGTTGGAAAGTGTTGAAATGCGTCGATGTTGTGTTTGGATTGAGAAAGTCACACTTAGCGATTGCTGCCTCGTGTGGAGGCGGGGTAAGACCAAAACGTAGAGTCTGCAATGCATGCGGCCAGGTGAGTATCATCTAATTTTGCTAACATCCGTTGCAACAGCCCGGACATGTCCGCATCCATTTGAGTGCAGCCGAGCAAAAGGCATTCGACTGCATCCGATCCCAATGCATCTGAGCGGTAAAGCTCCGTGCACCTAATGGGATTTGTGCATCCGTCCGATATGATTTTGCCTGAGTGTTGGAAAGTATCGAAATGCATCGATTGTGTGTTTTGATTGAGAAAGTCACACTTGGCGACTGCTGCCTCGTGTGGAGGCGGGGTAAGACCAAACGTAGAGTGTGCAATGCATGCGGCCAGGGGAGTATCATCTAATTTTGCTAACATCCGTTGCAACAGCCCGGACATGTCCGCATCCATTTGAGTGCAGCCGACCAAAAGGCATTCGACTGCATCCGATCCCAATGCATCTGAGCGGTAAAGCTCCGTGCACCTGATGGGATTTGTGCATCCGTCCGATATGATTTTGCCTGAGTGTTGGAAAGTATCGAAATGCATCGATTGTGTGTTTTGATTGAGAAAGTCACACTTGGCGACTGCTGCCTCGTGTGGAGGCGGGATAAGACCAAACGTAGAGTGTGCAATGCATGCGGCCAGGTGAGTATCATCGAATTTTGCTAACATCCGTTGCAACAGCCCGGACATGTCCGCATCCATTTGAGTGCAGCCGACCAAAGGCATTCCACTGCATCCGATCCCAATGCATCTGAGCAGTAAAGCTCCGTGTGCCCGATAGGATTTGTGCATCCGCCCGATATGATTTTGCCTGAGTGTTGGAAAGTATCGAAATGCATCGATTGTGTGTTTTGATTGAGAAAGTCACACTTAGCGACTGCTGCCTCGTGTGGAGGCGGGGTAAGACCAAACGTAGAGTGTGCAATGCATGCGGCCAGGTGAGTATCATCTAATTTTGCTAACATCCGTTGCAACAGCCCGGACATGTCCGCATCCATTTGAGTGCAGCCGACCAAAGGCATTCGACTGCATCCGATCCCAATGCATCTGAGCAGTAAAGCTCCGTGCACCCGATGGGATTTGTGGAAAATGTTGGAAAGCTTTGTACATGCATCGTTTGGGTGCTTGGATTGATAAAGTGGCATTTAGCGACTGCTGCCTCGTCTGGAGGCAGGGTAGGATCAACTCAGTCACGGATAGCAGACAAGCTTGGCAACATCCGTGTCCATTTTCATTGCAAGGTGGGCGCCGCTTTGTATTGTTGGACGTGCACGATGTGTTGTTAGAACAGATTGGATGAGTTTTTAAATGCGACATCTAACCTGATTCATTGACATCGGCATTTTGAATGCAACATCAACGTTAGGTTCATTGACGTCGGCACATGTTTCGAAAGGTGATGCTTGCTGCACAGTGCTGCCTTTGGGACAGCACGTGGTGGTGATACTGCAGAGGCACGGGAAGTTGTGTCGTCGTTCGCCAGCGCATCCGGCTGTTTGTTGACAATACTGTCGGTTGTGCCACGCCTCAGGAGGTCTGGTGGCAGTTGTCCCCGGCCGGCTCTTATGTCACATTTGCTTATCATACCATATGCATGAAAAGGAAAACAATTATGAAAGTGATTAGTTTGTTGTTGCTTATATGCTCAAAAACACATCCAAGCTGGATGCTGTATGGCTGTCGCTCTATGAACGTGTCACCGATGAACGGTGGCGATATGTCAAGCGATGCTGCACGGGCTGGAGACGGGTCAGGTGGCCGTGTCCCCGACTTCGATGACATGGCAGTCTTGTCTGATTTGGCAGTTCCCTTCGTGGTGCAGTGGTCAGCGGATGAAAGTCATCGGTTGCAATTGGATGTAGCCCTTGCGGGCGTGGCTGCTATTTGTTTTGCGGTCAGTTCGAAAATACAGTGGGGCGCCTTGGCGATTTTCTGTGCGATCGCCTCTCGGGCATTGATACCATGCGAGCAAGCACAGGTGGAGCTATCGCCATTGCACTGGCTGGTTGTGCGGCCATATTCGCCGTCTGTGGTTAGCTTCGTAGGATCTTTGTCTGATGAGAAGAAATGTCTATTGACTTTCCAACTGTCTGCTGGACTCAATGTCCTCGCAGCATGGATTGCCGATCCGTCGCCTGCGTTAACAAATGATCTCCGAGATTTCTTTCGAGGACTTCGTGTGACTGCTGGATCAGCAGCAGTCGCCGATGTGATTGATTCCGCTCCGGCGACTGTGGATTAGGCAACAGCATACTCGGCGTGTCATTATGAGATTTCCAGCATTGGCGACAGGAAAGAAATGTTCTGTCTTTGTATGGCTGATGTAGGGATCGTTGAAGATGCTTGCACTGCCGATTGGGATGTTTGTTTTTATTGAAATTGCGTGTTTTATTTGCCCGTTATCAATATATCAAATATGTAGATAAATAATATGTATATTTGCGTGTATGTATGATGACTTTATGGATTGTTCAATATGTCTGATCGCCAGGATTCACTGGCGCCGCCGTCAAAAAGATCCTTGTTGCAGGCTGGTTGGGCATATCGTGTGATCAATTGATTCATTTCCAAATATGTCTGATGTCTTTTCGTTTGATTTTCATGTATATTTTCATGTATTGATTTTCATGTATCCTTCAAATCTAGATGGCTTCAGAGATTCTTATTTGTTGTGGTATTTTTGGCTCGAGAGTGACCAAGACTGCCACAAGGTGTTTCGTGGCAAATTGCCCGCTGCTGCTGTGAAGACATGGCGGTCGCTTTGGCCGGTGCTGCATCAGGCGGCGCTGTCCCCGATGTGGCTGGTGCGAGCCATCCGCCTCTTGCTGGTGGCCATATCACTGGCCATGGCGGCGCAGCCTTGCGCTTGTATGCTGGTATGACCCAGCAGCAAGCAATCCAGTTTGACGCCATGGGCCAAGTGGAGGCACCTGTCGGTCGTGGCGGCCAAGCGTACTGGGCGCTGAAGACAGAGAAAACTGCCGCGGCCCAAAGTGTGGTGAATGCTCACCCGGGCCTGCAGGTGGATGACGTGGTGTTGAAGCCGGTCACGGTGACGCATGTGGGGGTTGTGAAGCTGGTGCAGACGGGCTATCTGTACTGTGTGGACGCCAACCAATGGCGCCTGTACGCGCCTTTGCGCACACCGGCGCCGCGTGACCACGATGACAATGTCTACTACGAGATCCACCCGAGTGCGCAGCTGGAGTGAGGGGCTTGCTGCTTTGGGCCGCGACCAGGTGGCGGTGGCCCCGGCGCAGGTTAGGTGGCGCTGGCCCAACCGTTTCAATCGGCTCGGACTTGCAGTGTTTGATGCATATAAAAAAAAATGAGCTGGTGATGGTACAGCTGAAGGCAATGTCTTTGATGGGGATGAATAAAGAAATATGATTCTATGTACTGACAGCTTCTTTTTGAATAATTGTGGAAGACATTGAGTTTCATCACTTTGCAAGTCCTACATCGTGTCTGTTTTGCTTCAGTGAAAAATTTGATTGTGTTGTCATCAAACATTTTGGCAGGTCACACGGTATTGATCCACGAACCAGTTTCGGTTCTCATGCACCTGATTGTCGTCGAGGCTGGTGAATTGGGTGCGTGTGTGAGATTAATTGTGTGCTGCAAATAAGGGAAGTGGTGAATTGAAAATGACATTTTTT